TGTTACAAAAATATTAATTGAATACTTTCCTTAATCAAAATTAATTATTTCGAATGTGAATGTGTGAGTTAAATGAAAATGTTTTTTTTTTATATTTCATTGTATTGTATAATAACTTATCATTTTCATCAATTGATTTTATGACCAACTTAATTTTAGTACGTTTCCAACAAATTTATAAGAAATAAGTATACTGTTTGACGCTAAAAAACGTGACGTCACAATACACAATCTCGTACAAAATTCATAGAAAACTGTCGTTTTTGACAGTTCGAAAAAAGTATTGTATTTGACTAGTTGGTAAGTACCCAATTTATTTAAATCTCTATAGGTAGCAGTAGGTCGTCTCCCGGAGCTGATGGTATTCGGTAACGACTACCCGACAGTGGACGGCACCGGAGTCCGCGACTACATACACGTGGAGGACCTGGCCGACGGACACGTGAAGGCGGTGCGACTGTTCCAGCAGCCAGGGTTCAGCGGGTTCCATGCTGTCAATCTAGGTGAGTCATGAATGTGTGCTTTAGACTAGTTAGCTTTTTGGTAGATGAGTGGTCTCAACTGACCGGTGGACTGCCGCGCCCTTGCCCGGCAGTCCACCCCTTGGTCTCGGATTCGATTTCCGGGTCGGATAAAGTACTACTGTGTTTAAAAAAATCTCAATAGTAGCACGGAGTCTGGAAATGTGCCTGGTATATGGCAATAGGCTCACCCCCTATTACATGGGACTCTTAACATAAATAGTGAAAAGTGGGTGTTACATTGTACACTGGCATAATATACACCTCTGCCTACCCCTTCAGGGATAAAAGGCGTGGTGTAATGTTATGTTATGATATCATTAGGGAATAACTATTTTGTAAACATAATTATTATTACCATAACGTACATAATTAAAAATGCTAGCCATTTCGCCATTAGAGTGTATAATAAAATGATTATTTTATGTTACTTTCTTATCGTACGTTAGCACAGAAGTAGGTAGAAGAATGGCTCAGAAATACCTACCGTCCAATGTGATAGTAATAACAATGTGATAGTAACACCTAAGAAATATTTCTACTCTTTTTTGGGATAATCCGGTAAACGAGCCGACGGATCACCTGATGGTAAGCAATAGGCGCCGCCCATGGACATCTCAAACACCAGAGGCATTACAAGTGCGTTACCGGCCTTTTGGGGATTGGGAATTTGAGGATTGTGGGGATTCGGGGATTGGGAAGACTGGGGCCCCTCCCCAGTCTTATAATAATACGGTAATTGGGCTTCCGGTAACTTTACTCACACGACAATACAACGCAAACGTTATTTCACGTCAGTTTTCTGTGAGGCCGTGGTATCGCTCCAGTCGAGCCGGCCCATTCGTGCTCAAACTAAACTCTACTTTCCTCTTCCAGGCACAGGCACTGGCTACTCAGTCCTACAAATGATAGCAGCATTCAAGTCCGCGAGCGGGCGCGACATACCCTACCGCATCGTAGGACGGAGGGCGGGCGATATAGCGGCCAACTACGCAGACGTGTCACTCTCACACCGCCTCCTCGCCTGGAGGGCCACGAGGACTCTGGAGGACATGTGCGCGGATACTTGGAGGTGGCAAAGCAATAACCCTCAGGGGTTTAAGAGTAGTTAGAAGGAAGAAGAGAGGAACTGGCTTTGGTATGTTATCATGCGAATTTGTATTTGTATTTCCGAACCGATACGACCTTCACCCTTTAAGAAAAGAGCGTATTTCTTTTTAAAATGCTGGCTACGCACCTGTGACGCCTCTGGTGTTGCGGGTATCCATGGGCGGCGCTGATCGCTTACGTGATCCGTCTGCTCATTTGCCTTCTATTCCAAAAAAAAATGCAGGCGCCATACATGTGGGCACATGTATGGCGCCTGCATAAAAGGATAGTACAAGTTGGTAAATTCATTCATTGTTTCTTTACGACGCAGCTAAGTAAAGGTCGACATATTTATATTTGTAATTATTGGTCCAATATTTTGAGAGAAATACTGAAAGAAAGTCAGATGAATTTCTAACTTAATTATTGTATTGTTATAGAGTTAACACGCAAAGAGATTTGACAATTTAAGTTACTATATACTGACGTCATTATTGTGACAGTAAATGACAATCGGTAAACTAAAAAATGAAATAAACTTATTTATGTATAAACAACTTTAATACAATACAATAAAATCTAAAATTCAATGTCAACATTACTACCAAGTCAGCCAAGAATGTTCGAATACGTATTCCGTATTGTATCGCCATATTTATTTATTTAAGATAACTACAGCCATTTTAGAATTGTAATAACATGACGTTAAATTGTTTTACGGTGTTGATGTGGCTTTGGTTTGCGATAGGAGTATATTTCAGGCTAAAATAAGACTAGGTTAGAACCTATAATATGTTTAAAAAGTCTCCTTTCATTATTTATGCCATTATTGTCATAAACGCAATGTAATTTAGCGTAAGTGGCGTCCATAAATTACGTGAGGTTTGTTATTAATATTCTGTCCCCTCCCCCTCCCCCCTGGTGAGATGTCGTGAGATTTTATTTAACACCCTCCCCCATCCCCCAAACTCACGTGAGATTTTTCAAAATGTTGGATTTTCACGTTGGAGTGTAGCAAACATTAATTATTATTTCTTCGGTTTAATGTTTTATAATCTGTAATATCGATACTTCCAGTCGAATATAGATTTTATATTTCTCTCAAAATTTATGAAGTTCAAATACAGTTAGTAACAGTTAGGTAAAAAATAATTATATGTTACTGTTATCGCAAACCAAAATCAAGTTCAAATCCATTAAAAATAATCGAATAATTATTATTAACGTTTATTATACCAAAATTGTTACCAAAATGTTAGTCGTTCCTATTGTGTTGCCATAATTTATTTTTATATTCTACTGTATTTAGTATATTTTTATAATTTAATGTAATATGTAATAATTTTATTAATTTAGGACCAAAGCAATACCAAATACATGCCAAAGCATTTATCAGTGATTTTAAAGGAGAAATATATTTTTTTATATTAATTAATTTGTTGATTAAGTATGAAGATTCATTATTTATGCATAAAAAATAGTTAAAGTATTTAGTTTTCCAATTTTAAAATTAGCAAATTACCATTAAATACATATTTGCATTTTTGTTTTTGATTTCACTAAATTGTGAATAAAAATATTCGATATTTTCCTACTGTTATTTTGTTTTAAATAATGGCAATGATTGCATTTTATTGTTTGACCATTACTGTCTATATTATATGACTAAAAATAGTTCAAAATATTTTTTATTTTATTTAATTATCCCCAGTAACGGGATTATTGATTATTTTGTTAATTATTATTAGCGTAAGGTGCTAGCTAAACCAAATGTAACGGCATTGCCTGTCGGCATAAAACTGATTTTATCATTCCTTGTTTACTTACTTGCTATTTTAATAGAAAAAATATTTTGTTTATTTATTTTGTGGTGCTAATTTTTATTATGTAATTATTTTCATTTAATCATTTAATTATGGATTAAACTGTTTAATTGTTGTGTGTAATAATTGAAATAAATATTTATTATATTAATTTCTCTTGTTTTTTTTTCTTAATTAATTTTCGTAATTTTCCACCTCCTATAACTGCCATGCCTGTTCACAAAAATATTCTTGGCCATTGCCAGAATATTTTTTAAAACGGTGCCAGTTCTACCAGTCATTCCCACCCTGTTCCTCAAATAGCAAAAATGATTTTACGAAAGGTGAACAACGTATAGGGGACGTTGTACGAAAATTTCGTAACTTTTTGGCTAGAACCTCTTGATTTTGAGATAGGTATTGCAAGATTTTCGTGACAGAGGTCTAATACTTCAATAGTTTGAATGTGTTAAGACTTTATCCTAGATTCCTAGATGGCCACATCCCCTATACTTATTATACTCTTTGATGGCCACCATACAAACTTATTTACTGAAAATACAGGTACACATAAATTACTGTCTTACCGCCGTACTGAAACGTTACTCAATTTTAAGTCGTGCTTAAATATCGTGCCATCTCTGTCATGTTACAAAGAATTTGTCGAGACAGAACTATACTTAAGCGCGACTTAAAATTGAGTAGCGTTTGAGTATTCCGACATCACTCATTTAATGGCTACTTAACCCAGTCGTTAGCAATTGTTTTCGGAACAAAATCGTTAGTAAGGAAAAGTTTAAGTAATCATTGAATGTCTCTGAGTATCGCAGGCAATCTCGGGGATAGGTTCATTTTACTTTGAAATTTTATGTGTTCTGAACTCAAATGCCTAGATAAACCATAGTATTTAGGGTATTATGTGAGACTACAGTCAGTTATAAACAACTGAACCAGAAACGTCAGAATATGAAAAAATCGAAAAAAAAATTACGAAAGAAATCATGAAAAAAAATGATAACTCCAAAACTACGTAAAATTAAAAATTATTGAACATGAACATATGGGGTCATATACTATCTATCTACACATACTTGAACGTCAACTTCCCGGCCACCTTTATGAATACCATGAAATAAAACACACAAAATATTTTAATTAATCTGTATTATCTAAAATTACAAATCTTTCATAATTTCAATCATTACACCTAGTTACCACGTGATAATTCAGCACATACTATTTATTTACTTTGTTGTCTAAAAATATCAGATTTACATTTTTACAACAATCTCTAACAATTAACATTGAATTAGTTATCTGTGGGGCGGGAGGAATTAGAAAAAGAAATAAGGCAGCCATCTTTGAAATGCTTACTGTTGACTTGTCTATGAACTTAAAAAAAATATACGATTGAAAGGAACTCGTTTCGAAAACATTTTATATTTTATTAAGAAAAAGTGCTAAATATGGGAAACTGTGCTGAAATCATAAATATAAAAGAAACTTATATGAAAAATTTGACTTAAATTAAGTTTTCATACAGCATGCTTTAGAAATATTGGTACTATACCTTAGTTCATTATAACATTTGAATTAAAAATAATACATTTTCTTTTAGCTATTTTATTAAACTGACTGTTATAAATATTTGATTTTAAAAACAAATTATTCATAATTATGTATTTTTATTCACTTTACGGCTATCTAATAAATACCATTTATATGTAATTTACGATTGGTTTATAATCTATATTAGAAGATAATATATAATCTATAATTTATATATTGCTTTACAGAATACATTAAATCAATATTTCTAAACACGCTGTCAAAGAAAAAATTGCACCTATTTCATTCAAAGACATTGCAAACAATGGAACGAAAAAATATTTACAAATCAACACAAGATAAAAAAAAATAGGGTCAATTCATATCTGAGTATAGTCAAAACGTCAAATGTAACAGCAATTTTACCTTTATCTATAACAAAATAAAGCACATTTTCATTTAGAAACAAAAACAAGCCACACGAATTCACGTTTAACCAACGGAATTCGTGCGTATAACGTTGATTTATAGGAACGGGATGGTTTTTAGTCAGTAAGAGTCTGAAACTCCCTCCCGGCTCACCCAGGCGGGAGCAGTCATTCGATGATTTCCCCTCTTAAAAAAAAACGTTGATTTATGGATCTAAGAAAATAAATTAAAGAAATACAGGTGACTTTGCTATATCACATTTTAGTTTGACGTTTCGAACTCTGCACCAATAGCAATGACCGCTTGAACAAAATGGCGTCAACCAAAATGTCCTTTTTACAATGTGTCAAGTTGTAAATATATAAGTTTCCAATATTTTGACATTTGTACGAAAATATATATCTTTTAAAAGATGGGGAATCAAATATTTTTATTTGAACTGTCAGTACATACGTTTGTAAGATTCAAAACTTAAAATCCATTCATACATTTAAAGTAAGGATTAAATTAAAAGTATAAAAAGCTTGGAAAGTAACTCGGAAATCAGCTAAAACATATATGTTGCGTCGCTTTGACATATTTATATGACATGTATTTCACATATTACGTCAAACTATAGTAGGCAGAAAAATAAAAAAATATAAATTAATTTTTTAAAACAAAAATGTAATGGGTAAGCTCTGGCAACACTAATTTCAATCTGTCAATCTGTATTGATTCCAAATTCAAATGCACAATTTGAATTCAGATTACAATTTAAAAGAAATACATAGATAATATTTACCTCAATAGTTTGACGTAAAGAGTTTCTTATATTTTTATTACCGGTGTATTTTATACATGGGAAATCAACATATATCTAATATATCTAAAAGCATTGTAGTTACACATAGAGCACAATTCAGTGTGAATATCAACCCAAAAAAGTCAATTTTACTTAAATTTTCAAGCTCAAAAGGTTTCCGTTCAAACTGTAATCAATCGGGGGTCCATATTCATACTGTTTTGTATTTACTAATCATCTGTAAGGCAACCATTGGTAGTGGATAGTCTAAGACATTGATATGGGAGCGTACTTTGTTCTTGGGTCGTGATCATCTAACGGGTGCGAGGGGAAATGTGCTCAAAGGTTGAAGATATAAGGTTGGAAATTGTTTAACCCGTTGATATCCATCCCCTAAATTTGGTCATACAAAAGTATTCTCTAAACATTAGAAATAAGGTTTATAATGTAATGTAATATTAGTGGAAAGCGGTCACCGGTGACCGCTTGGGGATTTATGGGTTAATGTAGTTTAGTCTAATTTAGATATGACGGTTTATTCTGAGTTAAATATTATTGAAGATAATTCAGTGTAATTGACTTTTTGATCAATAGTAGGTACTTACAATGTTAGGTTTCAGCGTTTAATTCTGTGGAACTGTCAAAAAATATTCTTCTAAGCATGTCATCTCTTTTTAACATACTCTTTCTTTTTCAGAGCACATTTCCTCTCCCCGTTGGACGTTAAGCAAGGGGTGTGGTGTTATTTAATACTAAATTACTTTGGTCGTTAGGTAACTTACGGAAATAGACGGGTTCGAGGCCAAGAAGTGTTCGGACACTACCATATCAACGTATGAGTGGAGATACAAACTATTATAGTACTTCAGCAAGTCGCATTCGAAGGAATAACCACGATATTTTAAAGAGAATAAGGTATAATTTTTGCTGTTACACTTCTACTTCCAAACACGAATTGCCAAAGCACAAAAAGTATTTATTACATAATGAAACACATTCTGCGAACACTAGTCAAACGGATTTCTTACATACTTATACATAAACAAATAAAAAACACCCAAATCAGATGAGATCCTGGCGAATACCAGATTCAATGTGATATGAAAAGCGGTGCAAAACTGTTTTGTAAAAAAAAGAAAAGAGGCTGAACGAGTTGTTGTCTGAGCCAGTGCTGTCAAATTATTTAAAAAAGGAATTTATTTAAGACGGGCAATTTAAAACATTGGTTGGCCAACGCCAATAGTTTTGCCAACATTTTTATTATTACTATGATAAACCTATTCTTATGAGTCAAATGTTGGCACAAACATTGGCTGAATTTTATTATAATCTGTACTATAATTATCTATGTAAATATATATTTTATTTATTGCATTTTTTTGTCATTGACAACACTGGTTGAAAGTTAGTGTTGTGTATGGAATTTATTTTGTTACTATTCAAATTACAATTTTTTAGTTAATATTCACTCACATGTTTGTTTAAATATTTGTAGGCACAAAACCACTAATTTATTAGTTAAGGCACAACTCTAAGTGGCAAAAGAAAAAAGAATTGTATTTGGATAGATTTTGGCAAGATTTTACAGTCTGGTCACCCAAAAGAAGTTAATAATATTTTTTTTTAGTAAAACAAGTCACATTTGTTTACTTTAACCATCTAATAACACAGAGATTGTGTATTTGTCAAAATGTTGTAAAACAAATGATACCTACTTAGGTAAATCTGTTTTTAAGTCAAATTGGAAAGTTCCAGAATATATTTTGCAGTTAATACATTAACAGGCACTTTTAATATGAAACTGGAAATGCTAAAGCACTGAGGAAGCAAGATTTTATCATTAAAAGGATTATTATCAACTTTACTCTAATAAGATCTATTATAACATGTTTGTTGTCAATGAAGGAAAGAGATGACGCTTTACATAATAATATTATCTCCATCTCTTTCACTTACGTGAATATAAGTTCTAAAATCTTACAAACTCAGTGCATTATACAAGGTGTAACGAAAAATGTATGACAATGCAGTTGCTAGTTAGGATATGACTCCAAACAAACTCTATACTGAACAAAAGAACTTAGCATAAATTAGCAGTTTCCATAGAAAAACACAACTTTCACTTTCATACCCCGAAACCAACAACTACAAGTAACATTTCATTTTACCACATCCTGTATCATTCCCAGCTCTCATAACAAACATGTGAGTGAATATGTAACGTGTGTGTGAGACGTGTGTGTGTGAGTAATGTTATATGTGTGTAGGTGATACATAGGTCACTATAGTCTTTGCACTTGCTTGCACTAGGGCTAGCCTTCCCGCTTGATGCTTGGCATCTGTGGTGGAGGTTCGGCGAGACCTTTCACCTGGAACAAGAAATATTAAGTTGTTTTTACTAATTTTTTCGAGATCCGAAACAGACTAGAGATAGAATATACAATAACATCACGCCTATTATCCCTGAAGGGGTAGGCAGAGCAGCACATTACGGCATTTAATACCACTGTACAATGTAACACCCACTTTTCACTATTTATGTTATGAGTCTTATGTAATAGGTGGTGAGCCTATTGCCATATACCGGGCAAAATTTCAAACTCCATGCTACTACTCAATTTTAAAAATAAAAGCCTAGTAATACTTTGCCCGACCCGGGAACCGAACCCGAGACCCCTTGCCCGGCAGTCGCACTTGGCCAACGAGGCAGTCGTACGTACTTTTGTGATACACCAGAGGCATTGCAAGTGCGTTATCGGCCTTTTGGAAATAGGAATTTGAGGATTGTTGGGGATTCAGGGATTGCGGAAGGGGGGGTAACTGGGCCTCCTGTAACCTCACTCACACGACGAAACACAACGCAAGCGTTTTTTCACGTCGGTTTTGTGTGAGGCCGTGGTATCGCTCCAGTCGAGCCGACCCATTCGTACCGAAGCATGGCTCTGCCATACTTAAAACATTTGCTTCAAAAAATTGACACAAAAAATGCCAAGGCCAGGATTATGTTATTGTAGTAAAGATGGTAACTACTTAAGTGGCTTAAGTTCAACTAAGGCACTTGGTATTCAGAAAACCCAAGCGATTAGTTGCTCACTCAGTGAAGATGGGATTACCCATAACACGGGCTAGGAGTAAAACAGTATACATGCTACAATTATGAATTTTTAACCTTTTGAACGCCAGAGCAAAAACACATGAACCTGCCTTCGACACCAAGCCACAAATTCCACGCAAATTTCTACGAAAGAAATAGGAATTATTGGAATCCCTATTGTATCAACAATAGGGATTCCAATAATTCGTGTTTCTGGTTCCGCTTTTTCTGTCATGTATTTGTGTTGTTGACGTCCAGGGACAGTTTTCGCTTGTCGCGTATATGTGACATTGGCGGTCAAAAGGTTAACCGACCTAAAAAAAATGACGGTCTACGTTTCATCTGTATGGTGTATAGACGGTTATGCACGATCATCTCGCAATTGGGTGAGGATAAAAGGCGTGATGTTATATTATGTTATTTATAGTTAACAAATCCTCCCACCTTAAGCCGGGCGGCTGTCTTGAGGAAAGCGGGCAGCTGTTCTTGGGAGACATTGACTTCCCCGGCGTACATGAACTCCAGTATAGCTTGCAGGTGGAGGTACGACACATCCTTCAGGATTATTATCGGGTGCTTTGATGGATTCTCCTGCAAATAAAACAATGTATTTTGTTAAAATATTCAATAAGACATGTATAGAACATCAATAGGGTAGATGACTAATTTTTATTTTAATGTCCGTCTGATAGATTGTTTTAAAACATTACACACGTATTTTTTTTTACAGATACGAATGCTTCCGACGATATATTGATTTGAAATGTCGCGTGACGTCACTTCTATGTACATTTTATACGTAGAAATGACGTTTTAGCCCCCACTCCCAAACTTTGATTCGTTATATCTAAGTATTATTTTATTATACAAAAAATAAAAAAATACCTGTCTAATATTTTTTCATTGCCTAACTGACTTAGATTTTTAATTTTCATACCCTGTCATCATCCCTATTGTATTGTATACCCAGTTGTCATCAATGTAAACAATTAGCAGAAAGTGTTTAGGCTTTCGAGCCTTGTATGTGAAGTATATGTGGAAAATAAGAAATGTACTGTAATCCTTTGTTCCAATCAACAACCTATAGATGCTCACGCGTGGTGAATAATGTTCAAACCTTCTTCGTGTAAGAGGAGGCTTTGCTCAGCAGAGGTATTTATAGGCTGTTGATGATGATGATGACGAAGTTTGCCGGGTCAGCTAGTTACAAATAAATTGACCTGAAATCTATTCACACAAACTAACCACCTAATTTTCCACACGCTTAGATTTAGGCACATACGCCATACGCATATATATAAAGTTACAGACAAACACAGGTAGCTTAGCATCGCCTTACATTCAGCCAGTGTCGTGTTCCCAGCTAATTTACTAAAACATCCTGTCTATTATTGTCTATGTTTACTCTTTGTATCCGTACGTGTTAATTGGCAATCATATTAAATACATTAGTCATACATTAGTCAAATTGTTACTTGTGTATTGTTGTTGAGTAGGTCTATGATTTCATTTGGTGTATGACGTTTATGTAGGTAACTATTTAAGTGTGGGAGAGCCATTTCGCCTTATACAAAGCTGTCATGCTAGCCAAGGAGGCGGGGCGCGTGAGGGAACGAATCTCTTCACGGTCCAACCGTCGCGGGAGACACTTACGGATGCCGATCCGTAAGTGCGGGTCTGCAGACGGCGAGCAAGGGTGGTTCGCCGCCCGACCAGAACCAGACCCGTGCGTGCGTTCCGCGCGCGCCTCAAACAGCCGTCAGACCACCACAGATGGGGCCCAATAGGGCAGGACTAGGAACGGGGTGGTTTTTAGTCAGTAAGAGTCTGACACTCCCTCTCCCCTAACCCAAGGCGGGAGAAGTTATTGGATGATATTCCCCACAAAAAAAAGTGTGGGAGTGCCATGCTTCGGCACGAATGGGCTGGCTCAACCGGAGTGATACCACGGTCTATTATTCCAAATATTCAAAGTTCTTTCTCCGATTAAATCAAACTGAGTATTGAAATATCGGTCTAAAGTCAATCTTAATAATATGGTTGAGAGGTAGGTGGTGAAAATTACCATTAACCCATCTGTCTGTAGACTCCACTATCAGAGACAAAATTTTGACACATTTTGTATGGAGTTAGCATGAATCTTTAGGAGCATAGATACACAATAACATGCACTTAATGTCAGATTATTGAGACGGGCCATAAGGTTATTATAAATAAGGTAATTGAATAATTTAATCGACGTAACTACACGGTTGTGCTTTTTATCTCTTCATTATTTAATTTGTTTCAATGTTATGATTTTTTAAATAAATAATTTAAATTGCTGATGCATAATTGGTGGCTTAGCGTCCGTGAGTCACTCAAAGGGCCAATAGAATACCAGCACAAGGCCCTGTCTTGCACATGTTGAACTGGTCCCATTTCACGGCAGACTTGGGACTTGAACATATATATCTATCAGTGCCTACTAATAGAATAACACATCTGTACATGTCACTTGTTTTTTTGCCAGTGTAATAAAATTATTTCCTTCTTTCTTATTCGAAATGAGTGATTATACAACTTCCTAGCCTTTCGTAGCAATAGCAAAACAAATAATGGATGAATTTGTGCTATGTATATTGTTCATTTTACATTTTAGTGTAAATAATTCCAAGAATAATCTTAAATATGTGTTAAAGGTCATTGCTGATATAGAGCAGAACAATCAGTATGATATAATGGAATTCCCCTTTCATTAAAATTTATAGAATGCATAAAATAATTATGTATAAGACAGTAAATCTTAAATTTTAACTTGTTTATTAGATTGTAATCCTAACATCTGTCATATTAATCTACCTAAAGCATAGCAATATATAAAAACGAAAGGTTTTACTTGTTTGTTTGCGTTGAATAGGCTCTGGAACGGCTAGACTATAATTTTTTACATTGTTATCCCGATATTAACACAAGATTAGGACCTGCACGACAGAGAAACATTCTGTTCAAGTTCAAGTAACTAAACACATAGACGGAAAGTCTAGTTATAATAAATAGTGATACCAATAGCTTACCTCTAATAAGCTTTTGAAGTATGGACTACACGCAGACAGGACCATTTTATGTGCCTTACACGTTTGGCCTTCACACGCTAACGTCACCTGGAAGAAAAGTATTTTTTTTATATTACAGACTAATAATTAATTAATCTATATAAATAAAAATGAATTTCCGTTCATTAGTCTCACTAGAACTCTAGAACGGCTCAACCAATTTGGGTAATTTTGGTCTTGAAACATTCATGGAAGGTGAGGGAAAGTCTAAAAGGTGAGAAATAATTTTTAACCGGAACGAAGTTTGCCAGGTCGGTTAGTACCAAATAAGATGTAATGTCTTTTATTTCTTGACAAGTACAAGACAGTTTAAGAGATGTTAACAGCGACTTTATTTCAATTACATTATGAATCCCATATAATGAAGTCCTTATTTTATTTGGCTTGCTGAACTCAGGAACTTATCAACTGCACTGATTTGACATGTAAGTAAGTGTTTAACCTCCTAAACTGCTGGAACTATAATAAACTAGCATTGAAGACCGTCTTATACAGCGGCAGTGTGAATGATAATTAATGGGTTAAAATAAATAAACATTTGGGGGTAACATAAACAAAGTGTTTATGAAAAAAGAAACAAGTAGTTAAAATTAACAAAATTGGTGATTTTGTTCACTTTTTGAAAGTTTTCAAGTTGTCAAAACCAATTAGATTACTGCAATCTAATGAGTATTGATTATGAAAGTGCACTGATACTGTCCATTCTTTTTACTCCAGATTTAGCTAACATTTTTAGATAAGTCGCTGAGTAGGTACTCTTTAGAGCCTTGATTTTTTTTTTGCTAACCATCTTCAATTGAATATTAACATACTTGGTGTGGGAGAATTTTCAATAATAGCAGAAGAATCCAACTGTTTAGTATTTTAAGGTTATAATAGTTTGTTTGTACACAAATATTCCAAAATATCATCATACTCACGTCTGTAAAGCTCTTCTCATCTCTCAAATGCCTAAAAGATGTAACCATATTCGTCTGGAAGTCATTCCATTTCAGGAAAAATTGTTGATCACCCATTTTGGAGTTTAAATTACACTGAAAAACACAATTTAACTATTGAATTTTATCTAATACGTAACACTTTCCACCGATTCTAGTAAGTATAGAGTTATTATATGTGTTCTGAGTATATTTTTGACAAACCTTCACAATTTTAATAGTGCACTTTAAATCGTTTACCTACGTCACTAGTTGCAATAGAAATGATGCTTACCTACGATCACTTGGTTACAATTTATAATTTTAAAATTTAGACCCTGTACACCAACTTAGATTTGTTGTACAAGGGCACCGCGTATTATTTCGAAACTATCACAAATAGTTAAGCAATTGAATCTCAAAATAAAGACGCTGTCTCGCATAAATTAGTGACTTCTTTCTATTTCTTCAAAATTCCTTCATTCACCTATTTAGGGTTGCCATATGCGTTTTTGTGTTTTGCTTGTTTTAGAACTAAACTTATGATACCACGCTGACATTTTAAAATACAAATTTATTCGTTATTATTTTGAATAAATTAGTTGTATTACTTATTGTGGTTACTTATAGTTTTGCTTTTAAGCTCAAAACTTGAACAGTTTTACTTCTAGCTAATTGCGTATATCGCATACGACCTTCAGCTACTTATTTATCTACAACTTATTTAATATTTTTATAGAAATCCACAAAAATACCCGTTTACAGCTTTTAGGTTCTATAAGACAGCATTGGGAGGTTCTACGGTTAAATATTGAAGTTATACATCATAGTACGTTTTTCTAACGCGGTGAATAGGATATCCAATGTCCCAGATGAAATTAAAATGGTATTGTATAATAATACCTAATTGAGATACTACTTATGGTATAGTTTATTTAAAAAAAAAATTAATTGTAATTTTTTAAACAAGCCTTCTCCCTCAAAAATATTGATTTTGAATGAATAATTAATATATTACCCTTAATTTGGGTAAAGGTCACTTATGGTATTCCTAATCATTCATTGGCCATCATCGTTCATTCTAAAATTTTAAGATGCGTTCATTCAATATACGATGCGTTCATTTGGAAATATTTTTAATGTTTGGTATTATTATATTACTCCATAGTTTATTGTATTTCATAATGCATAAGTTACTAATAATATTAATTTACAATATTTAGTTATAAAATATCAGATTCTCAAATAATTAAATGTAAAATTTGTGTTAACGCCATCTTGTGGCGAGTAGCATCGAGTAGCATCGACTCAAAGTATATGAATAAAACCCATTTGGTTGATGTTGAAATAAATTGAATAAAACGTTAAGCGATTTTGTATTCAGATTAAAATAACTCGTTATTTAATACAAAAGAAAAAGACACTACAGAATTCCTGTCTTTAAACCGATACGTAAAATAATAATAATGTAAGAGCTTGGAGGAAGAGCAAAAAGTACACAAGGATTATGATAGATGGCGCTGTATTATTTAATGGACATTATTCTTCTTTTGTACCGACCGAGGCTATTCGTGTAGCCATCCATAGATGAAATCGCTACTTAGCCAAACTACAAGTTTGTTTTTATTTAATTTTATCCTTATTACTACTATTTTAATTACGTATGTAATAGAATTTTTGATGTATCTCGTTAGTCGAGTTGTCGCAAGCGTCATTGCTCGGGTGTTCTAGGTTCAATTCTAATTTCTAGTTAGTCATAGCATTTTGTACTGCCCGGTACAGGCTCCTCCTTTATCGCACCTCGTTCTTAAGGGGTCAAGATTAAGCAAGATCACCTCTCAAGGTAGGTATAAAATAAAGAAAAGCACATTTATTGATACACCATTTTATTTATTTGACAAAACCGTTTTTAAAACGACACTCATATTATTGCGTAAAGAAAGAGAGGCAAAGTGTGAATTGTAACATCTTATTATAAGTATCATAATTGTATAATAGTAATAATTATTAAAACCATGCGTAATAATGGTAAAATTTTACTTTAATCTTATTTATTACGAGAGCATATTTTTAAAACACACGTACACTACGTTTAAAAGGCCAAGCGGTGTTGCCACATTATTCTTAAAATCTAAAACTTACAATTATTATTTTTTACTAGCAAGTACGAGATTACTACCTATTTTCTAATTATAATTATGTAACATTATTTTCTTTAAACAGCAACTCATACCTACCTACATACTGGACGAAGCAAATTTATACACAAAATAAAAAACATTAAATAAATACAACTTTAAATATCAAAAATCATTCGCTTTTTTTCTAACTATAATTGACATGAAGCAGGAATCAGTTAAATTGTTATAATACGTAGGTACACTTATGTTTTAAATCTAAAAAACTTACTTTGGTATACTTTTAAATTACAAACAAATATTTATCTATAATTTAAGAAAAGTCACGTCTATTTTTGAATACCTAAATATGAATAGTTTTAAGAAAAACAACGGCATTCCCATTCCATTACTTCACACATTACTGTAAAGTTTAAAACAGATACATGTTTTCTTACCATATATTTTCCAAATAATTTCCTCTTGCCATTGTTTTTCTCATAACCAAGTTCTTAAAATATACTTACACATACAATTTACACAAGTTATTGCTTAAATCTGACTTCTATACCAATAACTCTAAAAAGAGCAGTATCATTATTATATTCATACAATAATAATAATTATATTAAAACTTATATTATTAAAATATATTTGGTATATAGTAGCGTTACAAAATATACAAAGCACATTCGAACTTAGGTATATTCTAGCGTATGATTCGTCAATCCAGGAAGGAGACCTTTATTCCTATATTTCTAATTACCTATATATATCCTATATTTATATCCTACAGGTTCATAACCTTTACAAAAATAAAATATAAAATATTGCTGCACCGAAATATAACCAATAAAATAATTATAAAAAAAAACTCCAATAAATTTTTGATTGTAAACGAAATAGTTTTTTAATAAACATAATTATTCCCAGTTTGGTTAACGGGAACCACCTATAGCCGTGGGTTAGAAAACTTATATATTCAGAATTTATTATATATAAAATATATCAAGTTATAAGTACTAAGAGATCCTAACCTTTTCCTTAAAATACTTTACCCTAACATCTAGTCTTTGTCAGTAAAGAAATGCCATGAATTTGAGCAAACAAAAGTATATAAATTAATTTATAGTATTAGAAAATTATAGACTTCGAAGTTCTAAAAGATATCTACAATACATTTTACGAACTACATTAGCATAAGACTGGCTTCTGCCCCATGAGATAAAATGTTAAATACAGACACTTTTTAAAATTGTAATAGTACCTAATATATATATGTTAGATGAAACTAAATAAGGCTTAGATATTTATATATTTAGATGAAGCTTAAAGTGATAAGACAAATTGTAATACAGGCTGATATATTCAAAAAGATTTATAATATATTTTAGACAAGTATACGGAATCTAAAGTATTATCTAAGTTATTATTATAGGTAAGCTATTGTAATGAATAGATGCTTAAACTATTCATTGGTTTTACAATAAATTGGAGTTTATATTTTAAGTCTTAGCATAATTATCTAAATTGTATAGAGAATGATAACTTCGTCGTTTTGGTATCATAGCTTAGAATAAGAAAAAACTTCGTTTAAAAGTTGACTAGATAAATTTTGGAATTTGCGAAACTTAAGATTTTTGGCTGAACTTTATTATATTACTAAAATGTGTGTATTATATTACTAAAAGGTTATGGAAAATAGTACCCGACTAGACGGAAATGCAAAATTCTTCGGCTCCTACATCGTCGATAGATTTATCAGCTAACTATGTGCATTAAATATAAAGTGAAGATTTCGAAAACATTTGTTTTTATTGTGTTTTAGAGTCTCATGAGAACATAGTGTTCCGACTATGATATTTAACTCTAACAAACAATAAAAACTTACATTAAAATGACTCTTAAACTTACAACTGGCTCCATTTATGTAAGAGCTTGAGTATACACTAACAACTACAATATTATAGTGTACTTTAAGAACTGGCACTAAAACCTTCGTTGTTGTTTACCCACATTTTTATTTAAGCTTTAAGTACAGTAAGGCATAATAGGACGGTTTATACTTTATATTAAGGCAGCTAAAGGCACCTATTAAATTATTATTTACACACTATTGCATTGAAGTGATCTGTACCATGATGGTAGCACTTAATGCTTCTACTCGTTGCTAGATGGCGTTGTTATAAAATATACATTCGTTGAAGCTTTGGATTAATTATTATTTATAACTAGAAAAAAATATTTACAATAATTTATTTGCGCAAACATACTATGTTACGTCTACTCGTTGTTCGAGGTTGTACCTTTATCAATTGCTTTGGACGTTTGTATTTGCATGTTTTGTAGTGGTATTTTTAGTCCCCGCGGCGCTAGAATAAGTCTAGCGGGAGTCACGAGGACTATAGCGTACTCTCATTTATTTACTCCCAAAATTTTTGCTGCCTCGTCGGCGGACGAGAGCAGCTTATTGATAGTCTTGTCTGGAATGCCGAGCAGTTTACCAATGAGATCGCTGTTCTCAGGGTCGTTTTCTGCCTCCGAGGAATATTTGCGCGACGTCATGTCGAGTTTCAGTTTCTTCTCGTAAGGAGCAGAGGGCGGCGAGTTGTTGTTGTTCACGTTGCTGGGAATTTCGCTACCCGAACCGTCATCATCTTGGTACCGATACCTGTAAAAATAAATGGATTTAGTTCACTGTTTGGGCCATTATAGGTAGTAACAGGTTAGGTGGTGTGTTTAAAGTTCAAAATATGAAGCAAAATATTTGTTCTAGTCTTTAGATTTGGTGTGATCAAGGTACTTTACTTACCCATTAGTGATACCATCCTCAAGTGGAGTATTTGGAGGAGACGGTTCCTCGTCATCTGTAATTTCCTCCCGATGTTTCTTGCGATGGCGCAGCATGCTGTGTTTCAAGGTAAAACGACGTCGGCACAGGTCGCAGGCGAACGGGCGCTCTCCAGAATGCGTCCTCATATGACGACGGAGGTCCTCTGCTGACCAGAAACGGCGAACACAGAATGCACAGACCACCTAAAAGAATAAAAATAGCATAATTAGAACAGTGTGTTTTTTACGTTAAAAGTTTTATAAACATTTGAATGATACGTGTATAGTGAATAGAAAGTGGTTCAGATCTTACCTTCCTGTTAGCATGGTCGGGAAATTTCCCTCTCTCGTCATCATCAGCGCTTTCACTTCGGTCACTGGCAGCGTCCAAAGCGCCCTTGCTGACCAGCTGCTCGTACTCGGCCGCGTGGCTGCTCGCCAAGTGTGATAAAGCTCCGCTTCTATCTCCGAAGGAGGCTTCACAAAGATGGCACTTGAAGACTAGACCACCATCATTGGTTTCTTCCAGGATTTCAGGCGTCGGGGAACCTGGCTGGGAGTCTGATCCATGTCTCGAGGACATATGTTTCTTTAAAGTTTCAAGAGAGGAAAATGTGCTAGTTGGACATGTAGCGCATTTGTATGGCCGTTCCGGTACCGCTCGGGAGTCATTTATTGGTTGCGGTGGGGAGACCGTCTCAGGGATTGGCTCAGCCAGTACCGCTCTGGCGGACCCTCCATGCTTCCTCAGTAGATGACGATCGCAGTTTGATTTGGTCGTAAATAGCAGCGTACAGTGGGGGCACTTAAACGGTTTCTGTCCGGTGTGTGTGAGCACGTGGCGTCGCAGCGATGACGACCAGGGAAACTTTCGATGGCAGTAGGGGCATGATACCCTGTTCGGTGCTAGACTGTACGCTGACTTTTTCTTCGGTGGTAAAGCTGTGTCTGTCTCAGACCTGAAAAGAGGGTGAACACTAATGTTAATAAATAATTCTTGTATTATGAAACCATTTAAAAAATTAAATAGTAATTCTTTGCTATATGGCATTATTGTATTGAGTAAATAACTTACTTATTTTCATCGCTGCCAGAATTGTTGCCCTCGCTAGTTGAAGCCACTAAACCCTCCTCATCTTCTTCTTCATCACTGCGAGTGGGCACCACCGGTACAGGTAGTGGTTCCTGCGTCGGCGAGCCGGAACTCATTGCAGACTCGTTCTTGTCATTGTTGATAGGGAGAGGTTTGTTAATTAAGTTCCCAGCTATTTTAACATCAAAATCTTTGGCCATTTCTTGTTGGCAAGTGGCCATTAGAATTTCAGCAGCTGCTCGACGCGCCGCAGTATGATCTTCCACCTTATTTTCCTGGTCAGGCTCTTCGTCTATAATGAGCGTGTCCTCTTCATCTTCTTCATTGTCTGCCACTTCATCAGAATCTCTTCGAACGGGTGAGCGTTCAGATTGTTGTAAGGGCCTTTCAAGATGGCGAGCTAATAGTGCAAACTTCATCCTCTCGTTCATATTATCGGACATAGGGTATGGTGGTGGAGCCCTCGGCGCTGGTCTCCGCACGCTCCAATGCTGTGGATGCTGCTGCTTTACATGCCTTTCCATGTTGGAGCGCAACGTAAAGCGGGCAGAGCATTGGGAGCACGAGAAGGGTCTCTCAGTTCTATAACGCCGTTGTTTCTGTTTCGGCATCAAAACACCATTCTTAATAACCATTTTGACAGAATCTGTTTGGGGAACGAGGGTATTAGTCATTGGTGGTCTGGGTGAGTCAGAGTGCGGTGATGGTATCGGAGAGATGGACGGTGGTGGCTTTTGTTCTTCTTCTTCTGGCTCTAATTTTCCCTGAATTTCTTGTTCATTTGGAACAAGTCTGCCGCCAGACATACTCAAACCCCTGATGATTTCTTTCTGTATATGCTGTTTTATTTCAGCCAATTCTTGAGAATCAGTGGGGTGCGGAAAAAAGGAAGGTTGAAGTAGGTAAGGTGTGATGGGAAAAGATGGCGGTAAGGGTAATCCAGGGATACCAGGAACAGCACCAGCGTATAGTTGGGACAATTGCGATGCGTAGTAGGCCGGGTCAATTTTAGGAAGAGAATTCTCAAATAATCTCTGGGACGCTAGAAGGAATCTTGTTTTTTCAAAAGCTGAAGCTGCGACACTGGCAGCGTCAGGCTCGAATGATGGACGTGCTGGGACTTTAGGTTCTTCGGACTCAATGTCTCTTTTCTTTTTACTTAAATCAAGTACATCACAACTGTTATTGTCACTCGTGCTCAAGTCGACGGGAGCTTCTTCGTCGTATGAATCGTGTACGTCGTTGGATTTGTAAGTTATGTCTGGTTGCCTGAACTCCGGTATTTGAGTGAGTTGACCAATACCCTTCACTTTAATTCGAGGTTGGGACTGTGGCACGTCTCGCGTTATTGGAAGGGGTGACTCAGGCAAGGGCAACGGTAACGGTTTGCTAGTTAAGTTTGTGACGGGATGTCTTTCGGTAATGAAGCTAGGATTGAAATGAGTGAGCGGAGTGTCGCGTCCTGAGCTTTCATTTCGTCTGTCGATATCCGGCGTCTGAAAAGCGAGTGATCTCTTCACCTCATCTCTCGCTAATTTTGAATTTATCTCATCATTGTTTGGGTCTTCAGATGGGTGATAAATTATTGAACGTTTCACATCTTCTCTGGTGATTTTAGCGTGCCTGTTCCTCAAGTGGCGCTCGCAATTGGCTTTTGTGGTGAATGCATAATTGCACACAGCACATTCATAGGGCCTGTCGCCATTGTGTGTACGCATGTGGCGTACTAGCGCTGCCTTATCTAAGGAGGCGTGGGGACACATGTTACACTGATAAGGTCCCGGGCCCGTTCCACTCAAATGTACTCTGTTGTGGCCTTTCAGTGCTCGAAGGTTGGGGAACTTAGCAGGACATAGCCTACAAGGGAACTCACCACGCAGTTTCATGCGGCGAAACTCTGCCGCGAAGTTATCTTGACTCTCTTCCTGATCTCTCTCTTTGATGATGGTGTCCGGTGGGGTTAAAATTGAGCTTTCTAAAGCCACTCTTGTGCCAGTGAGCCTCTCTAACAGGCCACCAGCAGACGTGACATTTAAAATCGACTTTATATCAGCGAAGTCGCAGGCAGCATCGATATGTCTCATGCCGTTGGTCACATGGTTTTCGTCAAATTTGGATGTAAATCTTTCCATCGGTGGAGTTAATGTACCCGTGATACCAAACGATCTATTTGTGAGATCTAATTTAGCAAAGAAATCGTCCCTGCGATCTCGCTCTTCGCGTGGGCTCGGGATACGTGTGTTGGACAGACAGGATGTCTTGTGAATGTCTAAAGCTTGTCCACACGGAAAGTCACGACAACACATGTCGCATCGGTAACGTTGGTCAGTCACTGATACGTGAGGGTTACGCTCACACACTCCTCGGGCAATCTCTGGGAACTTTTTACTGGAAAAATCTACGAATGTTAAGTCATCAAATCCAGTTTTTGTGTCGTCACTGTGCGCCGTGAATCTATGAAGGTCATAGGCGTTAGCAGATTCGAAACGCTGCCGGCATTTTAGGCACTCGAACCTTGCTGTTCTTTTGTCCATAGGTTTGGGTGACGGTGAGGTGGAAGCAGCACGTTTGCGTGCTCTTCTCAAGTCATCTTCCTCGCTCCTGTCTGATCGGTTGTCGCTGTCTATGCTAGTCGTCCTAGTGACGCGAAGCTCTTTCTTTTCAATTTGAACTCCGTCCATTTCTTCATCAGCCTCGACCTTTGCTTCACTGATGACTTCCTCTGTTTTTATATCTGTAACAAAAGAGTACATGTTACAATTGGTTACGGATTGTATGTTTGAATAACGCGGGGCGCTTTCTTACAATTCCAAGAAAAGTCGACAATAGATGAGTCAGGCAATTCACTTATGCGAGGTCGCTATATTAGAATAATAATAATCTGACATTATCAGCATTGGAAACGATGCTAATAACAATTTGCTAATAGATCTCTTAATGTATTTCTTTAATTATGTATCTATTTATTGCTATTCGATAACAGATGGCGTTGGTTTCACCAACAACAACAACAACAATTTGCATCATGAAAAGCTGTCTTTTCGATATATTCATGAAGTATAGTTTCTATCTCACTAATATAATGAATCATCGACAAAGATTGAAAAAACTATTAAGCTTTCTTTAGTTTTACAAAACATCCTTAACTCTTAAGGCATACGTATCAAAGTCGAATAACACGGTCTATTCCTAAAATTCTCAAACCACAACAAAGTTCTCCACGGATGATTCACACTATCTTTTGTTTTAAAACGATCTTTAGTTGTATAGAAAAATCCGCCGTAACGAGTAGAGAACAAAGCACATTTTCCACTGTAACTAGTACAGCGAGCCTCGGTGAGGCTATAGGGCACAAAAATCAATAAGACTGACACCTAGTGGGCTATAGCTAGAGCTGTGTGTATGGTTGGCAAGCGACTGAGTCACGTAAACGCTATCAGATCGTTGTTTTGTGAAAAGTAGCGATTGTGAGATACTTTAGGGACGTGCCATGAATAAATACATATATTTCGTGGGTAATTCCATTAGCCTCTCGCTCATTTTTCATGAATATGGTACGCGAAGGTATTGAGAGCAATCTGGTCTAAACTAGTATCGATTGGCTATAAAAGGTAAGGCTAGTAACATTACGTTGTTTATTTTTATATTGAGGTGTCAGTGATCAATACACTTTTATTTAATCTAATCAATTTATTTTATCTCAGTATTAATTTTCTGTTAACAAAATAAAAATACTACTTATTCGACCATTATTACATTTAAGATAGAATTTTCGATGGTCCTGAAATAGTGCCTTGAGGTACCCTCTACTGTCTTCAGAACTCAAAACTCTTCTTTATAATGATCTTAGTACAAAAATTCATATTTAGATAGCTTTTTACCTTAGTGATACTAAAAAATACACCTGTCCTTTGTTTCATTCATTCTCAGATCCACAAACAAGATACGTAGATAAAGTAAGGCTATCAAAGGCTTTCGTGAAATAGTGGCATTTGTAGCATATTTAACGAACGTGATGGGAATAATTTCATATTATTGGCCTGGAAAACACAGATTTTACTGAGATTAGATCGCGCCATCGCGCTTCTGAGTTTGTGTGTGTTACATTTTTAATTATCTATGATTTAGAGAAATGATAGGTGACGGATTGAATTTGATTAAAACCTCTTTCTATTTATTTTCTAGCCTTATTTGCAGTCGGTAGATCCTATTCTCATTATACTACTTTTAGATAGTTAGTTAATAAAGATTTTTAGAGTAAGATAGTCACAGAATTCTATCCTTAGTAAGATTTAGAAGAAAAACTCAAAATGATTCATGTTTATTGTAATCTATAACACAAAGTCCAGTCAATTGTGTTGATAAAAAACGGTATAGTGTATCGAGAATACCATTGTTTTGAGAGTTCGTAATTCAAATAATAACCAAAGACAACATTTGAAAAAAAAAAGTCAAACGTGACCACAGATAATTATTATACCACAGATATTTTTAACTGTCAATTAAGCTGCAATGAATGACTTTAGTAGCCAATACAAGAACGAGGTATCTAAAATGTGTTCATGACGCCAGGCAATGTATTGGTTATAGTAATTCCCTAGCAGGACAATGTATCTGACTGACTGACTCATTACCCCGTCACTAACCTACATACGAGATTAATCAATGTAAATTATTATTTTACCAATTATGGTATGAATATCATTATATCATATAGTTTAATGACGTTTACCATGTTCTGATTTTTAAGGAAGTTTGAATTTAAATATAGAATGCATAATTATCATTTATGATTATTTGCCTCATATCTATCAATGGGATAATTATATTTGTCGTTTTAATAGTGATTTAATTGTTACCATGTGGTTACATTGGAGTAAAATAGAATAGTTTTATTACCAACAGAATCTTTCCCGCCAGTGTTATAAAAGTCGACTAATGCACAGAGTATAAAACTGGTATACTGTTCGGATTTTTGAAATATGAACTAATACAGGAAAAATTCATTTAAATTACCTGAAAATCCTTTAAAATATGAATGACAAAATAAATAATATACCTACTTAACTTACCATTCATAATTTACTTTTAAAAGAAACGAAACGGAAGCAATGCCATATTACCTACATATTATAAAATAGGTGCAAACACGACACCGCTGTAAGTTTACGCAAACTCAACAAAATTACTTCATAAGTCGTATATCGAAGTATTTAGATAAACACATCCGTTAAGACTCGAATTACATTCAAATGATGTAAGAAGATATTTTTGCTTCAATAAGTAAGTAAATGTAAGAATCGAAAATTCTCTATGGTCACAATATGGAGTCTGGAATTGGACACTTTCCTTAATTAAAAATAAATTACTTCGACTGTTCAATACAATAAAATATTAAAAAATAATCACACTTTCATTAATTGTATTTATGACCAACTTCATTTTAGTATTTTCCAGCATTTTTTTTAAGTAATAAGTATGCTGTTTAACACTGAAAGCAGTGACGTCACAATTCACATTCTCGTACAAAATTCAAAGAAAACTGTAGTTTTCGACAGTTCGAAAAAAGTATTGAATTTGACTAGTTGGCAAGTACCACATGACATAAGTGTTAAAAGTGGGTGTTACATTGACTATATGCACCATTGTGCCTCCCTTCTGGGATTAAAAGAGGTGACATTACGTAACGTAATCAAGGAATCCTAGACGATTAATAATGCAGAAGTTTTTAATCATAACTATAATTTAGAATTAAGTTTTATGTTTGACTCGCCTGATATCTAAAGGGACGTTCTGCAGTTACATCTTTGCTTATAGCTTTCACCCTCGAAGGAACACGTAATGTTTGCCATATATTATGTATCTTCCTTTATGTACACCATCAAGGAAAAACGTATAGTATTCGCTATGTATCTCCTACCATTTTCTCTTTATCTAAAGGTGATATTCGTTTGCATATTTCCCGGAGTTTCGGGGAGGGTGGGAGATTCGCACCCCTATTTCGACCCTCTGGCAACGCCCATGAGAACCCCCACAGGGAGACAGACTACCCAACCCATCGGATGGTAGTGGGCGTTTTAGTCCTTATCAACATAATCTGACGGTTTAAGATTCCAATTTTCGAGAAGCCATATTTTCTTTTGTTTCGTGCCGAGGGAAACCGTTTTCTCGTTTCGGTAATGTTTGTTATGACACACCCATTTTTATATGTTTGTTTTTCGTTTAATTTAAAAAGAAATTTCGCTTTTTGATACACAAGAATAATCTTATACTATTATATAAAGCGGAAGAGTTTGTTTTTTTGTTTGTTTATTTGAACGCGGTAATCTCCGCAACTACAAGTCTGATTTGAATAATTATTTTTGTGTTGGATAGCGCATCATCTATAGTCATATAGGTCGTAGCGTGATGTTTTAGAGCATAGGCTAAATACCAATAGGAGCTGAGCAGAGCGTGTGAAACCGCGCGGAAGTAGCTAGTATCCTAATAATTATTCTTATAATTGAAATTAAAGTTGAAATTATGAAAGAAAGAACAAAGAATTTTTTGCATAGTAGCGATTTTGAAAGTCTCACTGAGTCTAGATTTCAATTTAGCATTTTACATTTATCTAAGTTCGACAGTGTTTATCAAGCTGTGAATTAACTATGAACCTATGAATACTATCAACTATGTTCTACATATATAATATGCATTTAATCTTTTGTCATTATATAAAATTTTATGTAGTTACAGTTCACAAGTAAGCTTTTGCTCGCGCCGGTGTAAATGTATCGTGACGGGTATTCTTAGCAATAATCTTTTCACGCAATCTCGTTTGTAACTTGATGCGTGCGCGCATTGTTGCTGGCCGTCACTCCGTACTGTAATTTAATTAGCGATGTGTTATTTTTGAAAGAATTTTATAGGGATATTCTTTTAATTTGTAGTGTACTTAGTGGTTTTGATTGATAGATTTTTTATCGTTTTTCATTCTGTTATACAGTTTACAGGTTGACAAGTAAAATACAAAAGTGTAACTGTGTTGGCGCTTTAGTTGTTTTGTGTCACAAAGAAGAAAAATATTATGGTTAAAGTTATTCGTCTTATTCATCAATTATTACTAAATCTAAGTAAATTATTTTATAATAATTTGTAAAGACATTGATTATTAACTAGACCCATTAACGTATATATTTGTAAAACCTCATTTTATAAAAATCCGATTTTGAGATTGATTCGTGGTAGCACAAGTTAAAACCTTAGTGGTTTTTGGTTGCTATTTTAAATGGATACTCCTGTACTTATTGTAAATATGATAAATAAAAATAATTACTAAGTTAATGACTTACGAGTAAAAAGTTAATGCGACGGTGTGACAGTCATCTAAACTTTACGCAACATGTACACGGAAAACAAAAGTAAATTTTAATCGCGAATATTAATGTCGAAATTGAAAACGTATTTATTCTCGGAATAATTACTGAAATGCGCTAAATGTACGATTTTGTAGCACGCGTTCATCGAACCAAGAGACTGAGGCCTTAGTACGAGTTTGTTTTACCCATACTTTTAATGTATGAAGCGAAATTTTAAAGAAAACAATGAGTAAAGGTTACGTAATTTCATATACAGCTGTAAAACGAGGTTTAATAGATGACCAGGTATTCCATAGTATCTAGAACTTTCCTTGAGAATTGGACAACAAACGCAATAAGACGTTTTGTAGGAACTCCGATTAAATAGCAATGCACC